AACGTCTTTATGACATGTGGAGACTTTCACTTCCATAATCATTAGCGTAACGAGCCCCTGAGTCACTCGTGTCATGTTTGAAAAAAAAAAAAAAGTTTTGCAGTGGCACAAATGCAGTGAAGGACATCAGTATTAATCACTTTGAATAATGAAGGTCCAGTGTCTCGGCAGCACCAGCCAATCAATCAGACACATTTCTGGCACTTTCTAAAATAACTCATGTTTGTTTACCTTCCAACCATGATTAGCTTCTTGAGTCAGCGTAATGAATCAAAGTTAACATTGGCTAAGCATTCGATAATAATTGATTTGACACAATGTAATTACTCATTCAAACATCGTTGCGAACCAGTGTTTCTCCCTCAGAAGTCAAGGTCAAAGGCACAGCTCGGTTCCACTGATGTGTGGCTGCGGTCGACGTGTGACGCATAGAGAGATCGTGTTCTCTCTGCCTCCACGACCGAAGCCTAATTTCCTGTTCACATATTTTTAACTTGACTTCACTCAATGAATCTTCCGGATTCCAAGTCAGTGGTGTAACCCAGCTAATAAATAACAGCTAGATGATAAATAGGATTAAAAACAGTGATAAGAAATAGCTGTACAAATAATCTTGTCTGATTTTAGTCAAATACTAGACTGTTTTCATTCAATACTGAACTAATTTGAAACAGTGTCAAAACAAGGACGATGATGATGATGATGATGATAAAAATATTACATTTGTGCCTTTGGTGGACGCTCCTTATTCGTCTTTGCAATCCACACAGGCTGCCACAGGAGGCGCACTTGAAGTTTGTAGTACCTCTGGGACTCAAACCCAGGACCTCCTGTGTGTAAGGGAGGTATAACTGCTACATTATTTGGGGAAATCTGAGCTGCTACAGTAGCCTGAATGTCGACAAAACCAACTGTATGAGTTGCTAGCACCAGGATTGTGTATACAAACAAAATAGATTCATTAAATGCGCTGCAATGCTGCCATCTAGTGGCTAGAGGCTCGTTTGTGCGTGAGGAGGAAAAGGCGTTTTTGGAGAAGCTGGGTTGAGAAGTTTAGAACGAGTTTCTGCAACTGTATTTCGTCACCGAGGCATTGCACTACTTTTAGAGCAAGTCTTCGTTTCGCAAAAGGTTTTCATTGTTTCGTCACCGGGGCATTGCACTTTTAGAGCTAGTCTTCGTTTCGCAAAAGGTTTTCATTATCGGAAGAAAAAACAATAACAATTGTTACAGATATTACAAAATATGCTAATATCGCTCAACCAAAATGATCGAACATCCCTAATGAAAATGGATTACAACAAATTAAAAAATCAATTAGTTTGTGATTGATTTGTCTGGAAACTTCTTTAAACAAGTAAAAGTTGAGTTTGGAAACTGGATGACAATTTGTAAAAGTATTTAGGCTCGAGTGAATTTGTAGAGAAATGGCGTTTTTAGTGTCATAAATAAAGATTCTTGGACATACGTGTGTGTGTACACGTCATACAGTATCAATGATTGACAACCTGGAGCTACAGCTGTCACTGTCACATGTACAGCCCTGTAGTCACGTGTGTGTGTGAGGTGGAGTCACTGAATGACTTCAGTAAATCCACTCTATCATTTCCAAAATGTCGATGGAGCAGAATCTAATCTGTTTCACTTCCTCCTCTGTGGATTACTGCAGCTGCTGGTGCTGCAGAGCAGCGGCTCGTTCGCAGGCCGGATTTTCTCCCTCGTTTGATAAGATACTCAGCTGCTGCTGCTGCTGCTGCTGCTGCTGCTGCTGCCGCTGCCTCTTATCTCATTCTTAGTGGACTGTAGTTTTTACTCTGTATACTCATTCCACCATTACATATATAAGGTAGCAACGCGACCTTTCCTATTAGCGCAAAAAGGCCAACGAGCTGAATCAGCTTCTTGGCCAAACATGTTGTGACATTTGTTGAATTTCTGGTCAAACTTTATCATGAAGCTCATAGTTTATTTTGACTGAAACTGATGCTACGATGAGAGTACTCGTGTGTGTCTCGTAGCTGTGACGTTACTAAAAATATTGTAATATATATCCTTTCTGGCAGAATATCTTCTGTAATTTGTTGTCATTTACATCAAAAACAAAACCCATTGTTTTGACCTTAGCCTTGAGAAAAAGTATTTGATATTTGATGTACAGCAGTGTCTCCCAATCTGTTTTGCACATATATGACTTGATGCACTACCAAACAAAGATATCACAGATATAAATATTAAGACATATAATAATCGTCTTGTTTCAATTTACTCAAAATTCATTTTGTTGGTGGGAAACCTGGGCCTGTTTAGTTGAACAAAACTCACAGGAATTGAAGAAAGACACACAAAGATCGTCTTCAACAGTTCTCATCTAGTTTTAACAGCCATCTACTGCCACCTTGTGGAATAGTAGTCTGTTCTGCTCTGTCACTGTCACAAAGACAGTTTTATTCTTTTAAACCATACAGGTATGTCATTTCCCATGAAACACCCGATGATTTCCCACGGGCCACTAACGTGCCACAGCCCAGTGGTTGGGACTCACTGCTGTACTGCAACATTATTTTCATCTTTGCTGTTTTTTTTGTGTGTGTGTGCCCAACCTTTTTGTCTTCACGTGATTTATTTGTTTTATTATTCTACTTGTGTGTCACCTGTTCAATAAAACATTCAACCAACTCACATGACATCACACCTGAGTCCATTCATTCACGTGTGTGTTTGTGAACACCAAGGACACGCCCATCGTATTGTATCACCCTAATGTTTGCAGCACTTTGGTGAAGAAGAAAAAAAACAACAACCCCAAAGCAAACATTTCTTGCCATTGGACTCCCTTCCCAGTGATGTCTCATCCATCCCACCCACTCCCACTTGTGGGACCCAGTAACTGTGTTTTTCTCTCTGCCCACAGCTCTTACCGTCTGGATAAAATCAACAGTGACATGCGTAACTACATCACCAATTTTGCTGCAGACTTAAGGTGAATACAAGCTCGGTGCCCCCCCTCTCCGCCCTGTTGCGGTGGTCGGTCGCAGCCGTGGGAGCCAGCTGGCTCACGTCCCTGCTGACACGCTCAGTGTGGACGTCCAACAGAGTCAAACACTCAGGACCATGAGTGAGGTCACTGGGAGCGCGTTAGCCCCTCAATACAAAGGGAACTCCTGAAGGATCGATCGATCGATTGATTGATCAATCTATGTATCCATCCATCTATCATCCATCTATCCATCCATCTATGTATCCATCCATCTATGTATCCATCTATTAATCGATACATCTGTCTCTCTATCCATCCATCCATCTATCCATCCATCATCTATCCATCTATGTATCCATCCATCCATCTATGTATCCATCCATCCATCTATGTATCCATCCATC